ATCCAACATCTGCAGCATCCAACATCTGCAGCATCCAACATCTGCAGGGTTCTTGTAGGAGCGTTCATGTAAATAATGTCACCGTAATCAATGGAGGGAAGGAAAGTCACAGATACAAGGTGTTTCCTAACATTCAGGGTTAGACAGGATCTGTTTCTGAAAAAGAAACCCAGTTTAACTTCCAGTTTCTTTACCAAGTTTTCCACATGGAGCTTAAAAGAAAGATGTGAGTCGACCAAGATACCCAAATATTTATAGGAATCTACAAACTCAATGGGGACACCGTTTGAGGATAAAATCAGAGGAAGAACTGCTGGGACCGACTTCCTGTTTGAAAAAAGCATCCCTTTGGTTTTATCTGAGTTTAGGACAAGTTTGAGGTGGAACAAATCAGTCTGGATGTTGTTGAATGCAGATTTCAAAAGCTGGAAAGCCTTGGCAACTGTTTTAGCTCGACAATAAACAACTGTGTCATCAGCATAGAAATGTATGGATGCATCAGGGATGCTCTGACCTACATTACTTATGTTTATTGTAAAGAGGGTGGGTCCTAAGACTGAGCCTTGTGGTACACCATTGTTGACTGTTAGATAACTGGAGGAAGTACCATTATGTTGAACACATTGCCTCCAGTGGTGTGATCTGAGAAACCAGTTTCTGAGAGTTTATGACACAAGATGTTCTGATCCACAGAGTCAGAATCTTTAGACAGGTCTAAGAAAAGTGCAGCACAATAATCCTTAGCATCCAGTGCTTCAACAACGTCATTAAGAACCTTCAGTGAAGCAGTGGTTGTGCTGTGTTGTTTCCTGAAACCAGATTGATGTGGAGGTAAGATGTTAAATGAGTCCAGGTCATTTTTGATTTGAGAGTTTATCAGTTTTTCTACAACCTTGGCTAAAATGCAGAGTTTAGAGATTGGTCCATAGTTGTTCAGTGAGGGGGGGTCACTTCCCTTCAGCAAAGAAGAACAAAGGCTGTTTTCAAGAGTCTGGATGGAGTTTTGTCTCATGGAGAGATTGAAGATGTGGGTCACAGGGACTGTGATGATATGAGCAGCCAGCCTTAAGAAATAAGGTGGAAGTTCATCTGGACCTGCAGATTTTTTAGGATCAAGATCTTTTAACAGTTTATTGACCTCACTGACTGAGAATGGAGAAAAAGAGAAGGTGTGATTAACTGAGGATTGACTTGTAGGAGGGATTTGATTTGTAGAAGTTTGGTTATTAAGTGAAGTGGCTGATCTTCCATTAGTAACTGTGTCAAATAAAGAACCAGAAGCAACAAAATGTTTGTTGAAACAGTTCAGGATCTCGTGCTGATTTGACACAGGAGCAGAGTTAATGAGAAGTTGTGATGGGAGGTCAGATGATTGGGGGGTGCCTGAGAGAGATTTGATGGTTTTCCAGAATCTGTTGGGGTCATTTAGATTTTTGGAGGTCTGAGATAAGAAGTTACATTTTGCAGCTTTGATGGAAGTTGTATATTTTATTCCTCATCTGTTGAAAACTCAACCAATCAGAGTCTGAGCCAGATTTTTCTCTAAAGACCAGAGATGATCTCTCCTGTGCAGGAGGTCAGCTAGCTCTGGAGTAAACCAGGGGCTGTCTCATCCCTTTATTCTTAACTGACGAAAAGGAAAAGTTTTAAATTTGATTCATGTTTTTATTTGAACAGTTTTTGTTCAGGGCTGTTAAAATTAAGAAACGAAGCTCAAATATCAAAACTAATGTTAAAAGGTACCAGAACTAAACAACAGGATGATTTGAAACAGTCTTGTTTGTGTTTGACATAATTACTGCACAAATTTAAACCCTCCTATATTTTAAATTATTTAAATTCAGAAAAATAATTTATCTTTGTTCACAGTTCAAAGAAGAACCAGTGGAACGTGCAGAGCCTCCGGAGTGAGGACGGTTCAACGATTTAGTTCAAAATAAAGATAAATTAGAAAGCTTCAGGGTGGCACAGTGGCTCAGTGGGTAGAGCTGTCACCTTTCAGCAAGAAGGTTGTCGGATCAGATCCCGGTTTCTGGGTGGAGTTTGCATGTTCTCTCCGTGCTGCGTGGGTTTCCTCCCACAGACCAAAAACATGCGTTAGACTGATGGTGACTCTGAATTGTCTCTGTGTCCCTGTGATGGACTGAGACCTG